GTTTATTTTCATGGTCGTGGTCATGATGTGCACTGAAGAGGGTATTTGATTTTGCTGTATGAAGTACTATGACAATAAAGTAAACTAAACTAAACTTTTGCGACCTTCTGACAAGTGAAGCCAGATTCGCTTCACAACTGGGTTGCTGACTTTAAGTGGCTTCCGCACTGACTTCGTCATGTTTTACTCACTTAAGTTCAGTGAAACCCTGCAGCGATCCACTTAACGACCGTGGCGAGAACGAATGTTCACTTACTCAAGTAAGTTCAGTGAAATCACTGCAGCGATCCACTTAACGACCGTGGAGAGAAAGGTTCCGCAAGTGAGGTCAAACTCATTTAACCAAGGTCTTGCTTAGCGACAGATAATTTGGGGCTGAATTTAGGTCGTAAGCCGAGGACTACCTGTCCAGAAATTAACTGACAGAATAGGAAATTAGCTACAGAAGTTCACCCACTTAACGGCCGTGGCTAGAAAGTGCTGCAAGTGAGGCCAAACTCACATAGCCAACATCTCGCTTAGCGACAGGTAACTTGGGGCTGAAATTTAAGTCGTAAGCTGAGGACTGCCTGTACCTGCCCAGGAATTAACGGATGAATGAGGAAATGAGTGACAGAAGCTCAGGCCCCAGATTTTAGGGGTTATGACCCCCCCCTTCCAGCCCCTCTCCCCTGGACTCACCATGTAGAGCAGGAAAGGGAGGATGAGCAGAAAAATCCAAGTGTAGAGGTGGAAACAGTTGGAGAAAGTGCTCTGATGCGGGTCGAAGAACCAGCCGCCGGTCAGCGAAGCCCAGACGCCCTGGCGTAAGATCTGGAGCACCTGCGACCCCATATCCACGGTGGGGCCTCCTCCTCCTCCTCTTCTTCTTCGTCCTCTTCTTCCTCTTCCTCCTCCTCCTCCTCCTCCTCCCGAGGGAACACCACTGGCCAGCTGGCGCTCCCAGGGGCCTTCATTAAGGCAGCTTGAGTCCCATGATCTGGAAGGGCTGGGGAATCCAGAACCCGCCGCCTCTGCCCCTCCGGGGTCCCGGGAGGTGGGGAGGCCCACCAGCCCTTCCTGGGGTGCCAAGGGCTCTCCAGGGGCCCCGGACGACCCTGCAGGGATGGCAGGCGGAGGGGAAGCTGCCCCCCCACAATTTGGGGCACCCTCTTCTGGGTGCCGCTGCTCCTCTTCTTCAGGCCCGCCCCTCACGCCATGGGGGCGTCCCGAGGAGGACCCAGGCAGGGTAGCCACGCAGGGGGTTCTGGGAGGGGAGGCCGCCCCGCAAAAGGGGGTCCGAGGCAGCAGGGGTGACCAGTGGCCCCCAACACTGCCTACAAGGGGAGGCCCCTCCACGCCTGGGCCATGAGAGCCTCTGCCGGGATTGCGGGGGGTGCTATAAGGCCGGGGGGGCGCAGGGAGGAGGCTCCGCTTCCAATTCCCGGGGGTCCCCTGGGGAAACCGGGGGGCACCATGAATCCTTTAACGGCCCCCGAGCCTTCCCCTCCCCTGAGTCAAACAATTCCGGGGTCTCGTTCACTTCCGGGGTGAAGGGTCAGCCCCGCTTGGCCTTAAGGAGCCGAGTGTGGAGGGCGGCTGCGGGGGGGGAAACTCTCGGCGCTCGCACCTCATCGGGGATTGGGGGGGAGGCCGGAAGAAGCGCCCGAGCAGCTGCAAGGAGAAGCGGCGGCACTGCGCATGCGGAGTCCCCTCACGTCCGCTTTCCGAGACCGGAAGTCAAGGCGGAAGAAGGAAGGAAGAGGGAGGGACTCGGCCGCCTGGCCGCCTAAGAGCTATGAAAGAGCAGAGGGGGAGAAAGAGAGAGAAAGAGAGACGGGGCGACGTGAATCCGAGTTCAGGTTTTAATTGGCTCCCGTCAATTAACATTCTCCTATTGAGCAATTTGCAATATGCTGGAGGCAGAAATGAAGCAAAAAAACCCACTTTTCCCTAAATCGGTGCAGATGAAATTCAGATGTGTTTTGTATTTCATTTTTGTGTTTTTAAATTATTTTCTATTGAAAACGTCTGATGTGTAGTTTTTAGACAGTAAACAGGTTCAAAATTATATATGAAATATATACATAAAGTATCTATTTTCCCATCTTTCAATATTATTTTGAACCCATTTGCAGGTTCATATATGTGTATATGTGTGTGTGTGTTTGAATATATATGTGTGTATACTGTATGTTTATATACACACATACACACATAAACACACGTCTATATTAATACGTAAAGTAAGAAAGCAAACAGATGGGTGTTTATATTTACATACTGGTTAATATTAAAAAATAGGACAAAAATAATCATCTAAATGAAAATAAGCAAGTTAAACATGTATAGCAAAGGTATATGTGTGTATGGATGTGTACAGGGATACTACATAAAGGATAAAGAAGATAAACTGTATGGAAGAAAATGTGTGTGTTATATTTGTGCTGTTTAATGACCATAATAAAGTTGTTTATTGATAGAGAAAAATATGAGTAGATAAATAGTGCACAAGAAAGCAAAACTGTGTGCACTATATCCATCTTATGCATTTTACATATGTGTGTGTGTATTTCATTAGATAAGAATAAAATCTTATACTTTATATGTAAAAATATAAAAGTATGCACAGATAGAATTTATGAAAGCCAAGGTATGTGTTGATAGATAGCACAAAATATGCAAAGACGATGTGAAAGGATATAAACCATATGCCATGAATACTGAGAGAGAATAAGCAGGTAAACATTATAAATTGAAGTATAAATGTGTGTACTGACAATACTAAAATACATTGTAGGATTATGGATGTTCTTCCTACAAATATAATCCAGCCAGCATTACCAGGTTGGCGTAAACTGTACTCCTACCATTCAGTCCAATTCAATCCGACCGTGAACAGGCTGCACTTACACGATACTATTGGGGAAGGATGGTAAAATATCAGTTCCCACTCTCCTACCAGTGATAAAAACAAATATGTCAAAGTCGTTAAAGCAACCCAGAAACATTCCACTCAGATAATGAAATGACCACCTCTAATTTACTATCTCTAGGTGATAACCCTTCCTACAGTCTGTCCCAACAGACTTCACGCTTCCTTATCCACCGTTTAAAGGAAACGGTGGTGCGCGTGCGCAAAAGACTGCCACGGAACAAAATGCGCATGCGAATCAGCTCGGCCGAGGGAAGACAGGCGGACTTCATCCTCCAAGGGAGACCCTTGATGACAATGCGCACGCGCAAATTCTTGACGTCAATTGTTCTGGTAACTTTACTACAAAAGGGCGGGCATTTAAGCATTATCCTACTTGCTATGGGTCCGTTCTCATTGAATGGCGATCTTCTCCCCCAATGAGAAACGAGTTTCAATTCCTGGCTTTGCAAGTCATGAGCCATAGCTTGGTTCTTGCTGACACTATATATTAAAATTAATTGCAAAATTTCGATATAAAGCCCCAGGACCGCCTGAAGGTCTCCAAGATGACCACTAGATGGTAGCAGAGATACAGAAAAGAAACTTTGCCACCATCTATTGGTTGTCTCAAATTTTGCATCCCCAATAATTTTTATTTACCGTAGCTATTTTTTAATACTTACTAAATAACCTGTCATAACTGTTGCATCCTCATTTTGGAGCTATTTCCATAAGCGAAACACCAAAGCAGAATGATGATGGGCAAAATATCAGTGGGAGACTTCTGATTCCCTAACAGCTTGACCACTATTGACCGGTGGTAGCTGATGGAAGGACCTGGGCTAGGCATCAGTCTACTAAACCTCTGGGCAAGGGCTGTGGCCATAGGGCAGCGCTGAAGCAACCACAAACACACACACACACACATACACATCCAAATTTCCCTACCCCCAAGAATCATGGATCCCAGATTTTAGAGGCCTCGTGTAAATTAAATCTAGGACTATCCATATTGATACAATTGATACTACACAGAGTGCAGTACTTCTGCTGACTGCCGGCTGCCTGGAATTTTAAATCTCATCAGGGTCAAGGTTGACTCAGCCTTCCATCCTTCAGAGGTAAGTAAAATGAGGACCCAGATGGTTTTGGGGGCGGGGGGCTGACTCTGTAAACCACTTAGAGAGGGCTGGAAAGCACTGTGAAGCTGTGCTGTGCTATCTTCCTTCCTTCCTTCCTTCCTTCCTGCCCTCCCCAGTGGTTATAATGCAATATTTTAGACTAACTCTGCCAGCAGTTCGATTCTGACTGGCTCAAGGTCAACTCAGCCTTCTGTCCTTCCGAGGTCGGTAAAATGAGGGGTCAGATTGTTGGGGGCCATAGGCTGACTCTGTAAACTGCTTAGAGAGGGCTGTAAAAGCACTGTAAAGCGCTATATAAGTCTTAAGTGCTATTGCTATTGCCATCAGCTAAAAACCCTTCTGAAAAAAAAAGGAGTTATATTTCAATCAATCAGAATAAGAGTTGGAAGGGGCCTTGGGAGGTCTTCTAGTCCAACCCCTTGCTCAATCAGGAGACCCTATATGATTTCAGACATGTGGCTGTCCAACATCTTTTTTAACAACTTCCAGCGTTGGAGCATTCACAACATCTGGAGTTAATTCAGACCAGCTGGAAACAAAGAGCCAAAGAGCCATTCAGACGTTCCAAAAGATGCACGGGTTTCCTTATTCGGTGCAAGCAGCAAATCCCGCAAAGAAAAGAAATAAAATAAAAATAGATAAAGTAAAAAGCCTCCCCGGGCACCCAGATTCCTCCTTCCTTCCAAGCCCCGACCCCCGCCCAAGGGATCCCCCCAGGGCGAGGCACTCCAGCTCCCATCAGCCCCAACTTCATGGGAATCTGGAGCGGCGGCGCAGCCTCGCTCCCCCATCCCCCACCTCCGGGTTGGCAAAGCGGGCGAAGGCGGCGCTGGGCTCGGTTCCAGCTCCAGGCCAGCCTCGCCTTGTCTTCCGAGCGCCAGGCAGCCGGGGAGACCCGCCTCCAAAGCGGGGCAGTCCCGGCCAGGGGGAGACCCGCCCTCGCCCTGCCTTGCCCGCCTCGCTCCGTCCGGCGCTCTGCGCGGAAAAAGGACCGCTCCGCCGCACCGACCCGGGGCGAAGCCGGGAAAGAAGGAGCCGTCGGGGCGCGCTTTTCCAGAGCCCGGGTTGCCTCCGCTGCTAGCCGCGGGGCTCCTCGGGAGGGGTCCGGGAAACCCACCGCTGGATCGGATCCGGGACGCTTCGAGGAGGAAGCAACCCGAGCGCGGAAGGCGAGATCTTACCCGGGGCCTCCGCCCGCGCCGACGGAGGAGGAAGAGATCGCGGCGCCGGCGAGGGCGCCAGGGAAGCCTCGGAGGGCATGTAGAGCCCGGCTGGGGGTTGCAGACGTGGCTCCGCTTTTCCCCCTCGTGATGGGAGGGGGTTTGAGCTAGCTCCGAGCTCTCCCCGTGGTCTCCCTTCCTCCCGCTGGCCGAGGGAAGGTCCATGCTCCTGGACCCGATGAGGCCGGGAGGGCGCCATGGAGCCACTGAAAAGCATGTTCCGGAAAGCCCCTCTGGTGGGCGGCTGGGGTCCAGCCGGCCCCCGAGTCGGGGCTCCCACCACTTACGCCAACCCGGTCTGGACGGCGTTGTTTGACTACGAGGCCGCCAGCACGGACGAGCTGACCCTGCGGAAAGGGGACTTGGTGGAAGTCCTGTCCTGGGACTCGGCCATCTCCGGCGACGAAGGCTGGTGGGCCGGGAAGCTGAACGACCGGGTGGGCATCTTCCCTTCGAATTACGTCTCGCCCAAGACGGGGGGCTATGCACCGCCGGGCGGGGACCCCCCTGAGGCCGACTTTCGGGACCTGACGCTGGAGGAGGTGATTGGGGTGGGCGGCTTTGGGAAGGTGTACCGGGGCAGCTGGCGGGGGCAGTTGGTAGCAGTCAAGGCGGCCCGCCAGGACCCGGACGAGGACATCAGCACCACGGCCGAGCGCGTTCGCCAGGAGGCCCGCCTCTTCGCCATGCTGAAGCACGCCAACATCATCGCCCTGAAGGCCGTCTGCCTGCAGGGGCCCAACCTGTGTTTGGTGATGGAGTACGCGGCCGGAGGGCCGCTCAGCCGGATGCTGGCCGGACGCCGCATCCCGCCACACATCCTCATCAACTGGGCCGTCCAGATCGCGCAGGGCATGGAGTACCTTCACTGTGGTGCCATCGTGCCCGTCATCCACCGGGACCTGAAATCCAACAACAGTAAGTCTTTCGGGGAGAGATTTGCTGAGATTTGAACCCGGGTCTGGCTACAAGGGCCACAGCATAGCAGGACGTTGGCTCCCAATTCAGACTGGCTCTGAATTGTTTACTCCTTTTTTAACACCACGTGGATTGTTCTTGCCAGTTTTTTACACTTAGTCCTCGACTTATGACTGAAACTTCTGTTGCTAAGCGAGACATTTGTTTAAGGCATTTTTGCCCTGTTTTATGGTCTTCCTTGCTACTGTTATTAAGCGAATCGCTGCCGGTGTAAAATTGGCTCCCCCATTGATTTTGCCTGTCAGAAGGTCCCAAAAAGTGATCACATGATTCCAGAACACGGAAACTGTCATAAGTACATGCCAGTTGCCAAGCAAATTTGATCATATGACCGTAGGGAACTGTCAGTCATAAGAGCAAAAATCGTTTATAAATCACTTTTTTTCAGTGCTGTTGCAATTTCGAACCACCACTTAATGAACTGTTTAAAATCAAGGACTACCTGTATTTATTTATATTTATATTTAGATCTATATTTTTATTTATATTTATATTTATATAGATATATAGATATAATTTATATTTATTTACCTAGGATTTTATTTTTTGTTTTTCTTTCTGGGTAAAACCACCTGCCTAGAGAAGGTACCCGTGGGACGTTCCGAAATGTCAAAACAGCGACTGGTCCAATCAAAGTCCTGTTTACAAATTGTGCAGAAAAAGAGGCCATTTTGAAGTTTTGGACTTTCCTACATCCAGAAACCTTAAAATAAATTCTAATTTGGGAGGTTCCCGTTCTTTTTGTTCCCAACCAGTTTCCAGATTCCTCCGATCTACCTGGGGTTCCTTGAAGGGGTCCCTTGAAATGTTGGGGTAGCGTTCAAAATCTCTCACCCCCTCCCCATCTTGCTAACAACCTGTGTGTGTGGGGGGGGGGGAATGTGGGATCCAGCACAAATTAATTGATTCCCTCAAATTCTAGATTATTGCTTCTCAAACTCGGCCCCGTTAAGTTGTGTGGACTTCAACTCCCAGGATTCCCTAGCCAGCTGTGCTTACTGGGGAATTCTGGGAGTTGAAGTC